TGGTCTGCTGTTGGGAGTCTGTATAGTATTCTTTATTTCAGTCGGTGTATGCTTAATTTCCAGTTGGTTCTTTATCACAATATCGAGGGTTTCATTAGATTTCTCGAGGATCTCATTAAGTTTATCGTCGGCTTCTAGACAGTTCTTGAGAGACCTTAAAAGTGTGGTTCTGAAAAAAAGTAAAAATAAAAAAAAAAGTGTGGTTCTGAACTCTATATCTTCCATTGACAATTTTGTCCTGTTTCTTTGTCTCCGCATTTTGTTATGCTTTCTTGGTGCACCCCCTAGTGGTCTTTGTGCGCAGTCTTGTAGTTAAGCCTTGATTCCACATATCTTATTTTGAAATAAAAAAACAAAATGGGAACAAATACAATATTTGTATTTGCATGTGGCCCGCGGATCGTAGTTTGAAGGCCCCTGCTCTAGGCACTCGGGAGGGTTCAGTGAGATGAATTCCCGAAAGTGGAAACAGGTCAGGACCAAATAATTAAAGCTTCCAAATGATTTCCAGTGCACACTCTCACCTCCATGTGGCAGTGACTGTGCCGAAAACTTGAGATATCATCTCATTAATCTGTCTGCCATCATGTAGCACCAGCAAGCAAACTAATCTAGTTTTTTAAATTTATTTAAGAAGTATATTTTTATTGATTTCAGAAAGGAAGGAAGAGGGAGAGAGAGCTAGAAACATCAATGATGAGAATCATTGACTGGCTGCCTCCTGCACGCCCCTGACTGGGGATGGAGCCCCACCCCGGGTATGTGCCCTGACCGGGAATCGAATCCGGGACCCTTCAGTCCGCAGGCTGATTCTCTATCCACTGAGCCAAACCGGTTGGGCAGCATCTAGTTTTCTTAAGTTAAAAGATTTCAGAGGTAATTTCTGTCCTAGTAACTCCTTCCTTTGCTCCACTCTCTGGAAGTAAAGACTTATAACCGACCCCTCTGCTCTCACCACCTCCCCTGCTGGGCTGCGCCCGCCCCGCAGAGCACAGAGGCTCGCTGTCCTGCACCCAGCGCGCCGCTTGGTTCTAGTTGTCTGTCCGCAGGCAAGTTGTTTGACCCTCGTTTCCCGTCTTATAAAGCGAGACTTACAGCCGTGACGTGCCCCGCAAAGCTGTTTTGCAGGGAAACGAGACTTGGAGGTGAAAAGGCCCCTGTGAATTTCAAAGCCCTGTGTCCACACTTGCTTCTAGGGTGGTGTTGTGTCAGCGCCAGGGACAGGACAGCCATCTAAGGTTGCTCTGATGGCCCGGGGATGATTATGTACGTAAATCGCAAACGGTAAAGCACATGATAAACAGTTACTAACAGGTACGTCAGAATTAGGATATGCCATGTTCCTGGTACAAAATGATTTCCAAACTTTACTTTGATGTAATCTGAGTTTTGTTCTTCACTTGGCCTGTGACTAACGGAGGGCATAGTGGTTGGTCTGGGCACTGTGTAATGACCAGACTAAATGTGGGGGCTCGGCCCCTCAGTGAACCCCGATGAGTAGCCGTCTCCCCCACTCTGAGCCGCTGTCACGGGGACGAGGTGAGAGGAGCCACGGTGTGCTGAGCAGGTGCCTGTGGGCAGCCTCCTGGAACCACGGCTAGGGAGCGGTTCTCGCCACACCTGCCCGCCAGCTCCTCGGGCAGCCCCAGCGCCTGGCCTGCCCCGAAGAATCTGGCCCCGCGGCTGGGGGCAGGTCAGACACTTGAGTTTCTCATGGGACTCGCTGCGCCATGTCCTGGGTTTCCCCTCCCGTTTTATCGGCTGATGGATCCCCCTTTTCCTAAGGCTGGAGCGCGTGGAAGTCTGAGTTGGAGAAAACTGTTTTCAGTGGAGATGCCACGTGCTTCCCGAGACTGTCCAGCAGGGCTCCGTCCCCTTTGGAGGACCTGTCCTCAGGCTGTGAGCAGCCGGCAGAGCAGAGGGGCTCCGTGGCGGAGGTGGAGCCAGCTGGGTAGCTCTTCCAGGCGAACGCACTGCGTGGAAGCTCATCAGACAAGATACGTGGGAGAGCCGGCCGCGGCTCTCATGAGCGCGTGCCAGGTGCTCACTGGGGGCCGGCCTCCGTGACAAACCCGGGGCAGCCGTGATGGCCCCCCTGGCCCGCGCCTCGTTGGTGACTTGTGGGGAGCGGGCAGGTCTGCGTGGCCGGCATGGAAGCCGTCTGTCCAGTCTGCTGCCACCAGGTGCAAAAAGCTACTTGCAGGAATAACATGAACAGTCTGAGCTCATTCTGTAAAGAAATTACTTACATGTAAAGTCACATGTGTGTACATAGGATATAAAAAATAAGTCCCCAGAAACCATTCACATCGGCTCCCTCTGGAGAGTGGAATTGGAAGGCAGGACTTTCACTTCCCGACTTCATATCCTCTGTCCTATTGCATATTGTACCCATTAGGCGTGAAGTGGGGTTTTTCCTTTTAAAGTAGAATAATTTCTGTCTTAGAAAAGTTGCAGGAACAGAATAAGGAGCCCCCGTTGTGCCAGTTGTTAACATTTACATGTTTGCTTCATGTTCACTGTGTGCGCACACGTATGTATACATGAAGTTTATACTCTTTCTTTCCTGAACCATTTGGAGAGAGTTGGAGACAGGCTGCTCCTTTCCTCCGAAATACTTCAGGCAGAATCCTGATGGTGGGGGTGCCATCTGGTTCCCTAAGGAAGGGTATTGCTGTGACACTGCACTGTCTAAGCTTAAATCATAGGGCCAGTTTCCTAAGTAGAGAATGAACATGTGGTCTCACCCCAGGCCATGCCCCACCCCAACTCACACCCTGCCTCTGGCCACCACCTTTGCAGATGCAGCCTCCAAACATGCAACCCAGGCCTTCTGTGACTGTCTGCGCGCAGAGCTGGAGCAGCATGGGGTCTTCGTGACCGTGCTCAGCCCCGGCTACATCCGCACCAACCTCTCCCTCAACGCCATCGCCGCCGACGGCTCCAGATATGGAGGTGAGGCTCCAGCTCCTCTCCTTTTATAGAAAGCTCTTAGCTGCTGATTGTTTGCTCACTCATTTGAATGTAATTTTAAAAACGAAGACACACTGGGTGTTGGTCACATATACTGCCTACCAGGTAACCTTCTTTTACCCCGGACCACCCACTGCGCATCGGGGCAGGACTTGTCGGCTGGAGGGAGGTCCCCAAGCTGAGATGCTGCCAGTCTTCCAGCGAACCCATCTCCGTGCATTGCTTGACCCAAGAGTTCCCTACCCACCATGCTTGAGGAGTAACTGATATCAGGGCACTCAAAGCAGTGAGCTTCCGGGGTGAGGTGGGCACACCCCTCAGAACCTCCCTCTGGCTTCAGCCGAAGAGAGCCGATCTGGCCTGTCACCTCAGTGGCCCAGCTGCGGCCCAGATGCAGGCTCAGGCCAGCAGAGACCCGTGGGTTTTGCTTCTCAGGTATGCTGGCCCATGGGTGTGCTGCTGCGGGAGCCAGCTCTGCTTCCCCCAGCATGACAGGCCTGCTGGCCCTGAGTGCCCTCTGTGTGCTGCCTCCCTGGCCCTGCACGCTCCCCAGCTGGCCTGAGCCAAGACGGCCCATGCCCTGAAGGCAGTGGCTCTCACTCACGAGGCAAGACGGAGGCATAGACCCAGAGAGATCCATTTTTATATTACTTCTACTTAGAAGAATCTTTTTTAAAAACTCCCCCTGGAATTTGAAAAATAAGCTACAATCAGAAACCTCCTTTCTTCTGTGTTAACAAAAACACAGTGAGAACAGATGCTGGTAGGAAGTGCAGGTGGTTTGGACAACGTGCGAGCGGTTTCTAATGGTCTGTGATAGTGGCCTCCTCAGTGCCTGCCCTGGGTCCTACTTTTTTGGCAAAATTGTCATGATAAGGGAAGAAGGAACCAGTTACTGTTAACCAGCCTAACACCCAGGCTCCCACAGCTGTCACTAACCCTAACCCAGATTCCTTCCTGCGTGTGTGCAGTGAGCACCTGACCCTTGAGTAGTGGGAGCACATGTGGCCAGGGCCTCCCCCACTGGCTGACCTCAGCAGCCGCCCACGCTGGCTGGTGGCTCACCTTCTGGAGTCATTGGTGCTTTCGAAGGCGCAGATTCTTAAGGTCGGGAAGCCCTCGGCTGTGCTGGGCGCCTGACTGACTCCACCTGGGCTGGTCCTGAGCACTGGCGGGCGCCACCTCCGTTCCCATGTCCCGCCCACAGGCCTCTGACCCCCGCTCACACCCTGAGCCACGGAGGGGTCCCCCTGTCCTGGGTGCAGGGGAGCTAGGATGGTGGGTGCACGATGGAAAGCTGGGGAGCTGACCGCACCACGGTCTGGTCCACGCAGCTCAGCCGGGAGGGACTTGTGCTTTCAAGCTCACAGGTTTCTTTTGTCCACTTTAGTTATGGACGAGACCACCGCCCAGGGCCGAGTGCCTGCGGACGTGGCCCGAGACATCCTGGCTGCCGTGGTGAAGAAGAAGGAGGACGTGGTCCTGGCCAGCCTGGCGCCTTCGTTGGCCATTTACCTGCGAACGCTGGCCCCCGCGCTCTTCTTCCGCCTCATGGCCTCCCGGGCCCGGAAGGAGCAGAAGCCCAAGGACTCCTAGTGCCACCGCAGGGCTGTTGTCCTGGGTGCTTGTCGGGGTGGAGGCCCGAGGCACTTCCCCTGCAGAGCCCTGGCCGGCCTGCGGGGCGAGACCGGAGCACAGCGGCAACAGGCCTCCCGCCACGAGGCCGGCCCTGAGGAGTAAGGAGCTGGGTTTTAATGCTGAGAACATGAAATAAACACCAATGGATGGACACATGAGCCATGTCCTTGAGGACTAGATAACTGTGCCTCCTTCAGATCCCAGCTTCCGCCGGCTCCCAGAACGGGTTTCCATCTGGAAACCAGCAGACATCCTGACGGCGCCTTGGCCTCGCTGTCCACGTCTGACTCACCCAAGACCACTCTCCTAAAGGCTTGGCCCCAAGGGAGAAGCCTGTGTGCACCCCAGGCCCTGCAGTGTCCCCTTCAGCCCAGCGGGGGGCTAATGTGACCATCACTGACCTCCCAGTGCCACCAGTTCTAGGACCAGAAAAGGGTTCCCATTTCCCTACTGACCACACCCCCCCCACCCCACCCACCCCCCAGCCCTGCAGGACCAGGCACCACTCCCAGAGGAGACGCACTAAGGAGACCGCGTCTATGGGAAAAGGACACATGGTCCATGTGTCCTCTGGTGTGAGGCTCAGAATCCGGTCGGGGGCGGGGACTCTTTTTAAAAAAATATTTTTGATTTCAGAGAGAAAGGGGGAAGGAGAGAGATAGAAACACCAATGATGGGAGAGAATTATTGATCGGGCTACGTCCTGCACTTTCCCCACTGGGGATGGAGCCCGCAACCCAGGCATATGCCCTGACGGATTGAACTGTGGTCTCCTGGTTCACAGGTCGACGCTCAGCCTCTGAGCCATGTGGCCGGGCTGGGGGCTCTCTGCAGCAGCGTCTGCTCCCTGATGGAAGCAGCCACTTCTTGGCTGTGAAGGTTGAGAGTAGCCAGAGAGGGTGCCTGTGGCAGACTTACTAACACTCCTCGGTTGAGGTTCCTTCGGTCAGCTTCACACCTCAGTTCAGAACGAAACTTCCCCCTATTGGAGCTGACAGTGGAAATGGGGATCCACTGTATAGGCTTCCCCGCCTTGGAGTAAGTCCCTCGCATGTCACACTGTGTCCTGCCCTCCGTCCTAACTGGACTATGGAGCTTGCCATTTCAGCCACTCCCCAAATGACAACCTGAGCAGCCTGTGAGTCGGTGTTCAAGGCTCGCAAGTTTCCTGAAAGTTGGAGGATGAGAAGTGGGTTGGATGGGCTGACCTACCCCAGGGCCCACGTGCCCACACATCCATCCCAGGACCCGTGGCTGGAATGTGACACACGGCTTTTCACTTTCCTCAGAAACCAGCTCCCTCCCTCCTGGTGTTGGGAAAGGCTCCTTCCATACGAGGACTGCCTGGCTGGTCAGACATGCCAACGCCAGCATCCCTCGGAGGCAGCCAGGAAGCTGTCTCTGTAGATGGGATGAGAACAGCTCTCCCTGGACACTGCTTGGCTGGTACTTTCTAAAGGGCCCTGTCTGGGTGCTGTCCTTTCCTCTCCATTAAGTAAATGGCCAGCAGCTGGGGCCGATGGGGTGCACTGCCCTCCAGGCGGCAGCCACAGTGGTGGCTGTGTGTGGAGGTGAGTGGTTTGGGAGCAGCTGCAACAGTGGCCTCAGGTGTAGGCTGGGAAGCAGCTTGGAGCAGACAAAAAGGGTCTCAACCGATATATGACACGTGAATCACATTGAATATCACTGAGTGTTTACTTGTCTAATGTTCTATGGTTTTTAAAATATATTTTTATTGATTTCAGAGAGGGGGGGGAGAGAAACATCAAAGAGTCATTGATCAGCTGCCTTCTGCACCCCTCACACTGGGGATGGAACCTGCAACCCGCGTATGTGCTCTGACTGGGGAATCAAACCTCCTGGCTCATAGGTCGATGCTCAACACTGAGCCCCATGGGCTGAGCTGCCTAACATTTTTTTTTACATACGCAGCTCACTGTCTAAGGCTTATTATAGAAACTTTGTATTCTACCGTATAAATAGAAAGTGATAGAATACAAACAAATCCATTAAAACTAGCTAGGTCCACTGTCTGCCTGGCTCTCGGGCCGGCAGGGTCTGAGGTACCACAGGTGTGCTCGCACCACAGATGCTCTGCCCTCAGCAACCAGGAAGCGGACTAAGGGGCCAGTGGCTCAGGGCTCTCTGATGCCCAGGCTGCACCTAAGCCCTCCTGGGTGCCGCTCCCTGGAGAGCAGGTTTGGTAAAGGTGGGGCCTGTGGAGCTGTGACGTGGATGGCAGTGCGCACCTGTCTGAGGGTGAGTGCGCCCCGCACAGGAGCATCCCAAAGAGGGGAGCTGGGCCGGGCCTGGCCTTCGGCTCAAACCCATGTCTGAGTGTCTGCCCCCAGGGGGAGCGGTGTCCAGTTCCTCTCTTTCGTCCTTGAAGTTGGTTTTCCCATCTTTTATTCTTGCTTCTGATGGGTAGGTTGGAAAGGCACATTCTTAGTTCTGCCTTCAGATAAAGTTCAGAGACACTTTCCACTTTACAAGCTTCCTGTTGTTTCACTGTCCTATGCTTTATGCCGAAATCAGAGTCTGAAAAACAAAACCGAGTTTTTCCCGACAGCTGTGCACACCTGTGCCGAGGGACAGCGCTCGTGCGAGGGGTAGAGGGCGCAGCTGCCGGACACTCGGCCTGGCTCCCAGCAGCACTGAGCAGAGAGCTTCCCTTCTCCCCCTCAGGGACTGACAGCTGCCGAACCAGATGTGCACACTGCTCTGGAGGGAGCTGACAGACGGGACCAAGGAGAGAGACTGTCCAAGTTTGCTCTTCTCTGAAATTGGAGGGAGGCAGGTAGTTAAAACCAGACTCGGGTACTAGGTCAACGGCATGACCCAGTCACAAGCACACACATGGGGCTCATGCCTGTGGACTCAGCAGAGGAGGCCCACCTCACCTGGCCTCTGCTTCCTCCCAGGTGGCAGCTATCTCGTTTCTTCAAGAGCGCTGTGGCCTGGTAACGTGAGCATGACCCGTGTCTATGTGGAAGGTGGCAGAATAGGTACGTCAGGCACCAGCAGAGGGCCGGACGCCCAATGTGGGAGGTGGCTCTACGGCTCCTTCCCTGCCTGGGGCACCGCTCAGCTAGAGTCTGTGCTCACTCCGGCATGGACACAGTTAAGGTGGCATTTCAGAACCGGGGCTGGTCCACCCGACAGCAATCACTTTGTGCCGTGCACCTGGCCTCCGTTTCTGGAGAGGCCTGCTGCTGAGCAGGCCTGGGATGGCACTGCTTGTCTGTGTCTATCTGCCTCCCCCATGAAACCTGATTTGCAGGCAGGGCATGGGGATCCCTGTCCAAATCTGGGCTATTACACCACCTACCCTTCCCGCCCAGCAGGCTCAGGGGCCAGCAGTCAGGCAGCCCAGTCGTGGGCATCGCACAGTTGGGCTGAGGTCTGTCTGGGATCACTGCCAGTTTGCCAGGTTCCAGTGACCAGATCACCATGGAAACAGTGTTTACCCAACGCGGTTTCTGGCCCCTGGCACTCAACCGAGTGATTAGCATCTCCAGGGCCCTTAGAGTTCAAGCAGTCTCTCCAGCTGGTGGCCATGGGCTCCTTGTTTTGTTTTTTAATTTCTGTGAGTTTATCTGAACCAGGCTGCCCAGGACCAAGACCTCAAGGGCTTGCCCCACCATGGGTCCCTTTCACCTTTAAAGCTCTGGGTCTAGAAAAAATGTCCATCACCCGAGGCCTTCGTACAGATCGGCATTGCTCTCCAGGATGACCTTGCGGATGGGCCCTGACCCTTCCGTAGCTCAAGAATGGCTGAGAGCAGGTCTTGGGAAAGCTGCCGTTAAGGCAGGGGCCCAACTTCTTCGTGGAGGGGTAAGTCCATTTGCGCAAAGGCTTAGAGGGAAGGTGGTGCCCACAGGCCTTTCGGTGTGCAAGCAGCACTGGTCTCGGCGCCTGCGGAACAGGCCTGCTCAGGGCACGTGAGGAACAGCTCCAGTGCTTTAAACAGGTGCAGACGTGAGCTTCTTGTGTCCTAAATCCAAACCTGGGCCAGACGTCAGACCCCAGTTGTGCACATGCACCAGAGGCCTGGCGACCTCCAGGCCTGTCACCCTCCCCTGCCCCGTCCCTGCACGGCGCTGAGCAGTGCTAGCCTGGGAAGCAGGGCCAGGTGAGACAGGAGATGTCTCTGGGTGGGTCTAAGCCTGCCCTGTTCAGGGCCTGCTCTACTCACGTGCTGACACCGGCTGCAGCCAGACGCAGGGCGGCCTCTGGTGCCACCCACGGGCCAACTGCAGCAGCTACTGGCACAGTCATGAAAAGCAAAGACACCTGGAGTTGAAATTCTCATCATTTTAATGGTCAATTGCTTCTGGTTGGCTCTGGAAGGTAGTTAAACAATAAACTTCAAGACCCCACCCCAGCACACTCACCCCCCTCAGCTCCCATCAACATTCCATGCCCAGTCAGAATCCCATGGCCTCAGACTCCCTGGGGGTTGCAGAAATCCACAGCTTAGTGTGGCGAGTTGAAAAAACCCTTGGTACATTTGTGATCTGTGTTATTTTTAAAAAATAACAACTATTAAACCAAACACCTTCCCGGGCTCCGTTGCCTCATGGAGCAAAAAAAGTTCCTGTGCGACCTGCAGACTCTGCTGTCTCCTGTGGGCTTAGAGGGTGCAGCAGGCCAGGCTCAGCACGCCCGCGGGCAGGGAGATGTAGTGGGAGTAATCTAGGGGCAGTGCCAGTGGGGTGAAGAGGCAAGCGGTGCCCGCCAGCACGGTGGTCTTGTGCAGACAGTTGCCCACGGTGATCCAGCGCGCGGTCTCATCGCCGATGCGGGTGGGCTCGATCACAATGTACTTGTACTGGGCTTCCAGGGCCTGCTCCAGCTCATACTCAAACTGGTCTTGCGCGTTCTCCCCATTGTAGATCTCATGCACAATGTAACAGTCTGTGGCCGACAAGCTCACCCTTAGGAGGGAGGGGCAAGAAAAAGACAAGAGTTAGCTGGGAGCACTTACTAGGTTTCTTTGCTGAGACACTGAGGGAGTCTGGCCTCAGCTCAGCCGAGAGCCTGCGCTCTTGAAAACACCACGTCTCACTTAAGTTTCTATCACCCTTAGAACCCAATACTCAGGATCATCAGTGAAGAACTGTTTTTCTGAAAGAAACTAACGGACTATGAAAAGGTGGAGGAGTACCCTAATCTCTAAAATGACAACCTGCAGTATACACTGCGCCAGGCAGGTGGTCTGCTGCAGGGACGGACAGGTCTGAGTTAGCTGAACTCCCAGGAAACAAGGATGAGGTCAGCCCCAAATCGCATTATCACCCCTGACGCAGAAGCTCAGGTCAGCAGGGTGAAGTCAGCGCAACTGCAGGGCCTGAGGCAGAGACCACCCAACACCCTGCCCCTGCATGGCTCAAAACCAGTCCCCTCTGGCCTGCAGGCACTTCTGCCCTGGGCGACTGAGAACCAAACTCCTCTGACCCTTGTGGAAGGGCACGCTGCACGAAGTCCCCTGGCCCTCCCCAGGCCAGCACCCCAAGCACCCCAAGCACCCCAGCACACTGCTTAGCGAGCAAGCCCTTTATTTAATCAGAAAAAGAGACATCTCAAGAACAGCAATGACCGACACTTGGTGGACCTGGGAGCACACGCTGACCTGTAAGCCCAGGACTGGATTTAGTCTCACAAAGACCCACGCCCAGGGGCTGAGCTGATCGGACCCCCCTCTTGCGCCCCCCCCCCCAGGGATGGGTAACAGGATCCTCAAAGTGGAGCCTTGCACATCAAGGCCAAACAGCAGCAGGGAGGCAGTTTCCAGATTCTCAGCCTGAGGCCTCCCTAATGCAGACTTCCCACCCAGAGCACTCTTCCCACACCCGACGGCAAACCTCATTGCAAACCTGTACACACCTGTCATTTTCGTTTGGCTTGTTGCAGCCTGTCCTGATCTTTCTGAATCTCCAGCACAGCTACTCTTCTCCTAGCTCTGTGTTATCTGTTCATCTGATCAGAAGCCTTCTTTAGCCCAGCCTCTGACAGGACACTGCCACACACAGCTCTTGAGGCCGGATCAAGCTGCTTAATCCCTATGACCACCAAGCTGTGCAGAGCCTCAGTGAAAAGCAGCCCTTTGCCCTGGCCAGTCGGTTGGGTATCGTCCCAGGCACCGAAGGGCTGCTGGTTCTATTCCCAGTCAGGGCACATGCCTGGGTTTTTGGGCTCCATCCCTGGTGGGTTGTGTGCAGGAGGCAGCTTATCAATGTTTTACTCTCACATAAATGTTTCTCTCCCTCTCTCTCTAAAAATCAATAAAAATCGTAAAACAACAGCCCAGCTGGTTTGGCTCAGGGGTTAGAAGTGTCGGCCCACAGACCCGGGTTTGATTCTGGTCATGTACCTCAGTTGCAGGTTTGATCCCCGGCCCCGGTTGGGGCATGTGCAGGAGGCAACCAATCGATGTATCTCTCTCACATCAACGTTTCCCTCTCTCTGTACCCCCCAAACCCCGACTGCTCCACTCTATAAAAAAAGAAAAAAAGCCCTGACTGGCTCGGTGGATAGAGCGTCGGCCTGCGGACTCAAGGGTCCCGGGTTCAATTCCAGTAAGGGGCATGTACCTTGGTTGCGGGCACATACCAAGTGGGGAGTGTGCAGGAGGCAGCTGATCAATGTTTCTCTCTCATCGATGTTTCTAACTCTCTATCCCTCTCCCTTCCTCTCTGTAAAAAAAATAAATAAAATATATATATTTTTTAAAAAGAAAAGAAAAAAAATTCAATGGGAAAATTATCCTCGGGTGAGGATAAACAACAATAAAATAGTAATAAGTCAATAATCATCGCCCAGACCTGAGTGCAGCAGGAAGGGCGTCCCAGGCCCCTTCTAAGATGAAAGCAACTCCATGGCAGGGCGGGTGGGGACGGGACTGCTGGGCAGACGCTAAGGAACAAGGACGAGAGCGGAGAGCGAGACTATCAGGGATTCACAGGCGTGACCCGCAGAGGCAGGTTCTGGCTCTGGCTGATGTCTCGCTCTCCTGTGGTCACGTCAGAAATGAGGAGTCACTGGGGCTGGGCTGGCAGTGCCACCAAGGGCAGTGGGAGGAGCTCCGCTGAGAGGGCCCTGCATGCCTGGGGCTCAGGCCGAGGGAGCTCTGATCTGCGTTCAGCGAGGCTCCGGGAAGCCTCCGTAGTGAGGTCAGCAGCCTCATGAAACTGGGCACTGGGAGCAGTCCCTCCCGGCGTCGGACCGGCCTCCTACACATGGGACGCTGTCACAGCGCCTGCTGCATGTGCCCGTGGCCAGGGCTGCCTTCCCGGGGCGGTGACGAACGTTTCTGTAAGAACCCACCAGAAGTTTATGAGACGGGAAATGTTGGGTTTTCCCTGGGAAGGCCTTTATGGAGTTTTTCCATTTGATTTTAATTCAGAGAGATAAACAAGAGGCCATTTCAATTATTACTCCCAGGCAGGGTTCAGCACTGAAGGTGGCAAAGAAGAAACCCTACGCGGACCACCTGGAACAGGCTACCTGTCCCGTCACCCGGGGGCAGAGGAGACTGGTTTCCAGGCGATCACCCTGGCCCAGGGGGTTCCTTTGTGTTCTCAAGTTCATTAGCCAAGAAAGGCAGAGGGAGAGACAAGAACAAGGGAATGGGGGGTCGGGGGGAGACGGTGGCCAACTCATTCATGAAGAGGCAATACTTCAAAGTCAGCTGTGTGTCCGGCTAACTACCACGGTGAGGCCGGGACAGAGGCTGCTGCGGGCATCCGAGGCGAGCTTTCTGGCCACGGAGTCCTCTGGGACACTCAAAGCAAAATGCAGGTGTCAAGGTTGAGATTACAGAGTGTTCTTGACAAACCCCGAAGCTACCTTAGTCACGTAGTGCCCTTCTGTACCCAGCAGATTATAGCCATTCTGTTAGGAAAAATACTATTGGACTTAAAAGAAAGTGCTAGTTGGAACCACAGCACCTGGATACCCTACTTCATTTGGAAACACATAGTGGACAGATCCCACCCCACCCCATGCTAACCGAGCCCTCCCCAGTTCCTTCCCCGCTGCCCTGGCCTCTGTAAGCCCCGCCTTCCCAGCCATCCGAGTGGGCTCTCTCGGGTTCCTCAGGTAGGAGTGGGAGGCTAGGCCCTTCCGTCATTGTCAACACAGATGACTGTGTCCCTTGGTCCCACAGAGCCTAGAGGATGTGAGTTCGCCCACTGTCAGCCCAACAGCACAGGAGCGACGGCAAGCACACAGGCCTTCAGCTGCGGGCATTCCCGAACACCATGGCTCTGAGGAGCATGCGTGGGCACAGTGCACTCAGCTCGTGCACACAGCCTGTCAAAGCGTCTGCACTCCTACCGTCATCGCAAACCGACTCTCCACAGTGTGCAGACAAGAGCGCAACCACACTGAAGTAACCTCCCGGCACCTTCACACCAGGCAGGCCCGAGGCCAGCCCAGCGGCCGGTGCCCACACACGGCCAGAGCCGCCACCCCCAGTGCAGCGAGGGATGTGTCCACTGGAAAGCATGGAATCTGGAGCCCAGAGAAGATTCCTAGGACCCCTATGTACAAAAAGGAAACAGCACGGCTCAAAACAAACCTGCACAGACAACCAGGAGGCCCCTTTTGCCAGAGGCCAGCCACCAAGCAGTCAGCACCTGCCCCTCCACCTGAGTTGTGGCAGTTGGGACACCATCAGACCCTGCAAATGTAGGTTTTAAAAACTTCCCCAATCACCAGATTCCATTCTGCATGGCGGGCACTTCAGAAACCTGGTGGCGAAGGATGCCCAGGAAAGTCATGTCTACAACAGCCCAGCTACCCAGCATCCCTGCCACCCACACTCACACACACCTACACACAACCACACAACAGCCCAGCTACCCAGCGCCCCTGCCACCCACACCCACACCCACAAACAGCCCAGCTACCCAGCGTCCCTGCCACCCACACCCACCTACACACACACACCCAAACAACAGCCCAGCTACCCAGCGCCCCTGCCACCCACACCCACACACACAGCTTGGTTGTTTCTGGGTCAAATGTAACCCAACCAGGAAAGCATCCAATCAGAAGGTTGCCTTGAACCAGTTCAGCCAACCCCCATGAACCTAGCCCACGAGAGAAGATTGCAGAAAAGCTCATGTGATCCAGGCTTCCTAAGAGACTGTATTTTAGCTTTTTACTGCAGTTGTGAAATTACCAGTAAGAGAGCATGATAAAGTGTTCTAAAAAAAAGAGAGCAAGCACTGAGAATGTAAAAATCTCTAAGAAAGGAAGTTAAGTGTCAGTTACACAGCAGTGTTTATGGTATACTGCCTTTAGTGAATTTTTTAAACGGTATACATTTGCTTTTTTATGCACAGGACCCTCCTGGACAGATAAACAAAGACCTGAGGACTATGTCACTGGGGAGGGGACTCCCGGAAGCGCTTCAGGCAATACTTACAGAGCAGGGCTGCTCTCCCAGACACCTCTCCCAGGCTGGCCTCACTGCCTGGCCAACAGCCGGGGGAGCCACTCCCACCTATCGAGCTCGAGCGGCAGCTGCAGACACTACACCAGGACAGGCTCTTGAACCTGCTCCTCCTCCACCTTCAACTGGTCAGCCGAGACCTGAGACGCTCCTTCCTCCTCGGAACCGGCTCCCGCTCGGGCAGTGCTGGGAAACACTCATCAGAGGGGCCCACAAACCCGCCCTCCCAGGACAAGGCGCCGCGAGGAGGATCAGCCACGAGGACTGCAAGACAGACTCCGCTTCCCCTGGGATCTGGGCCCCTCCTGGTCCCCTGACCCACTGCAAGGACGATTTCAAAGGCATCTGGGATTGCAGAAGTAGTCACCAATATGGGATCCCCAAATCTAGCTGCACAGGATGCTCAGAGCAGCACTGATTGGCCCCCATCAATGTGCCGTCCTCCAGACGAAGGTGGAGGAGTTCTGGCTGCACACTGGCAGCGCACCCCTCAGGTGAGGCGGAGGCAGAGGCATTTCACACTCAATCCTAAAGCACAGACTAAAGGGTTTCTGTGTGCTGACTGCGAAGAGAAGCAAGCAGAGGACAGACAACTCAGGAGGGCAAGGTGCCTCTGCCTCGGGGAAGACACATGGGCCAGGGTGATGCTAGTTTTCTATTTCTTAAGCTTAGTGGTGAGTACACAGGTTTATTAATTTTTAAAAATATGGTAAAATACACACACAAAAAAGTACTATCTTAACCACTTTTAATGTGCTCAGTATTGGTAAGTACATTCATATTGTCGTGCAACCTGCCTCCAGAACCTTTTCATTCTGCAAAACTGAAACTCTGTCCCCATCAAACAACTCCCGCCCACCCCGCCGTTCCACTTCTGTCTTTATGAACGTGAGTGACTGTTCTAGGCACCGTGTGTAAGTGGAATCATAGGGTTTGTCCTCTTGTGACTGGCTTACTTCACTTGGCACAATGTTTTCAAGGTTCATCTGTTATACAGCACGTGTCAGAACTTCCTTCCTTTAAGTGTGAATAATATTCCAATGTATGTATAAACCACATTTTGTTTCTCTCTCCATCCATCAATGGACACTTTTAAGTTATTTCCACCTTCCAGCTATCTATCCTATATAATAAAAGGGTAATATGCAAATTGACCCTAATGGCAGAACCACCAAGAAGCTGCCAGAGGGATGTCTGACTTCAAGCTTAGGCCCAATCTCCCAGAGAGTGGGCCTAAGCCACAGTCAGATATCCCCCATAGGGTCTCAGACTGTGAGAGGGTGCAGGCTGGGCTGAGGGATGCCCATGCGCCCCCCCCGCCCCAAGTGCACGAATGTTCGTGCACCGGGCCTCTAGTATATATATATATAAAAGCCTAAGTGACCGTTACAACTGGTCGACCTGACTGGTTGACCCGTTGCTATGATGACGCACTGACCACCAGGGGGCAGACGCTCAACACAGGAGCTGCCCATGGGGGTCAGTGCGCTCCCATAACTAACCTCCCGTGGTGGGCCAACCTCCCACAGTCCTTTCCCATGGCAGGCTGGTCCTGATTGGCCATGATTGCCAGCCCGGCTGAGGGACCCCACCCGTGCACAAATTTGTGCACTGGGGCTCTAGTTGTGAATAATGCTGTGAACATGGATGTAAAAATATGTTTTGAGTCTCTGCTTTCAATCTCTTTGGATATATACCTAGAAATGGAATTGTTAGGTGGTAGTGCTATTTTCCCTTTTCTGGGGAACTGCCATCCTGCTCTCCACAGCGCCGCACCACATGACATTCTCAGCACCAGTGCAGGAGGGTCCCACCTCCCACAGCCTCACCCACACGGTTGTGTTTCCCAGTAGCCATCCTGATGGTGTGAGATGGGAGCTCATTGTGGATCTGATTTGTACTTTTTAAGATAATGGCTTTATTGAGACAAAATGCACACACCTTGGGATTCACCCACTTGAGTGTACAATTCAACGGCTCAGCACTTTCACCCAGTTGTGCAACGACCACAATCAATTTTAGGACATTTCATCACCCTGAAGAGCCCTGTCAATCCCCATTCCCCACCTCCCCAGCCCCTGGCAACATCTATCTACTGCTTGACTCTGTGGGCTGCCTAGTCTGGGCCCTCCATGTACCTGCACTCATCCATGCACTGCTTTTGTGACCAGCTTCTATCATTTAGCATAACAGTTTCAAGGATCATACATATGGTAGCTAGTTTCAGACTTGTCAGAAATATACTTCTGATGTGTTTAATATAATTTTTAAAAATTCAAGAAAAATTATATGGGAGGGGCCATCAAAGGTGCTATACACAAAAATGGTCAATAATGGTTTTGTTTAAATAGTGACCTAGCAGGTGATTCTTAATTTTTTCCTCATACTTAGAATTCTGTATTAAAAAATATAAATATGTGCTTCTTTTATAATGGGAACATTATAAAAATTTTCAGGGAGAAATATTGTTCAACAGCCCTTATATCCTTGGGGTGAAGACACCAGAGAGCCACGGGGCCCCCAAAACCCAGGGAACAGGAGCAGCACTCCGCTCGGGCAGCGAGTGCCTGCGAGAAACCTGCGTGGGGAGCAGCCCCAGCCCGGTGAGCCGAGCGCAGCTTCCAGCTGAGGTGCATGTGGGCCTCACTCCCCAGTCCTCAGCGCAGAGGAGGAGATCCCAGCTCCGTTCACGCAAGTAAGCACTGCCTGGTGCCCTTTCCTAGAACCAGAGCCAAATGTCACCAGGGTGGAGCACTTGCTTTCGGCCCATTTCCTCTGGGCCCCGGCTCACAGGCAGGACTGAGGTGTGAGCTCTCCTCCGAACTACAAAAGGCTGTTGATTCTGGTCCCTGAAAGCAGAGGAAGTATTTTCACCCCAGGATCCCAGCACTGGGCCTGAATGTGACAGGCATTAGCAGAAGTACGCTTGAAATGAGTGACGGGAGAAAAACTAGTCATTAAGACAACGGGCGGCTGAAAATTAAACCAGGTCCATGTGTCATGTTGCTTCCTAAATAAGAAGCACATGGTCGCCCTGACCCATGTGGCTCAGTGGATAGAGCATCGGCCTGCGGACTCAAGAGTCCCAGGTTCGATTCTGGTCAAGGGCATGTACCTTGGCTGCGGGCACATCCCCAGTGGGGAGTGTGCAGGAGGCAGCTGATTGATGTTCCTAACTCTCTATCTCTCTCCCTTCCTCTCTGTAAAAAAATCAGTAAAATATATTAAAAAAAAAAAGCAGCACATGGTCACTCGGTCACCCACGATACTGAGGTGCTGGATTCTAGCTCTCCCCCCAAGTCTAGGAAAACCCACTGCTGGCTAACCAAAAACTGCTTCCTCCATCCAGAGCCAAAGAAAGCAGTAAAATTCTATGCTTGGATTTAAGGGCCAGATAGGACAAAAAGGCACAGGCATGCAGCCCCAATATGGAGGACAGTTCCAAACAGGTCAAGGAACTTCCTCTCACAGGGCACCTGGCACCTGCATCTCCACGTGCAAGAGAACACCTTCCTCCTCTGTGCTCCGGTAACTGAGCAGCTCTCTGCTGAGAACAAGAACACAGCGCATCCAGCGTGGAATCGAGAGGCCTGCATTCAGGTTCCCTCTCAGTCGCTCCCTGGCTTTGTGTCCAAGGGCAAACCCCCTGGCTACTCTGAGCCAGCTTTGCGGTGTCAAGTGGGCAAAGGCCTGGCTCTCCCAAGCTGCTGCAGCGGAGGGGAGGGGCTGGGTGACCACTGCGAAGCACCGCCCAGTGTTTACATGAAGTAAAATTAAAGCGCTGTTCCTCAGACACACGAGCCACACTTCAAACGCTTTAAAGTCACGAGTGGCTATGGCTACCCTAACGAACAGCCCTGAGTAAGGAACTGTGAGGACTACTAAGTGGTTCCGGGCTTTCCCAAGAACTCTGGGGCCCGTATGGTTGCCGCTGGCACCAGGGACAGAACACTGGGGCAGCTGGAGGGTTCTGTGTGCTCCCTCTGTGGAGTCCTTCCCCTTCCTTCCCACTATCCTCACTCACTGAGGTGCATGCAGAAGCCCATACACGCACGCGCGCGCACACGTACACACACGCATGCAGATGCACACACACGCATGCATGCACGCACACAGAGGCTTGGGGCAAAGAAGCCAAACTCAGCCTTCTTTTTATCTCCCTGGACATAAGATCATTCCTCTTCTTCAGAAAGTTGGGCCTGAACTGGAATGCAGCCTAACAAGTTACTACAGCTGGAATTCCAGGTTGCTCAAATGAATCAAGGGAAACAAATTTATGCCTAAGAGGATGCACCCCAGCAGACCCCAACCCACAATGCCCAACTTCTGGGATCAGAATGTGTGGCCAGCTGGACCGGACCCACCACCCTCCTGGTTGCGCATGTATAGACCTGGGTGCGGAGGCTGTGAGCACAGCTCATCTGGACCAGGAGGAAACAAACATTTCAACCACACAGCAGAGCCATATGGGAGTCTTTCAGGAGAAATAAAACACAAACCCCTAAGGTTCTTCATCGCTAAAAGGAAAGGATCAGGTCAGAATGAGGGGAGTGCACCACCTGCCACGGGGCACCTGGGCCTTCCGTGCAGCTGGACTGGGAACTGAACCCTCCACAGCCCTCCAGAGGCACATGGTCTGAGTCACAGGTTAAAGCAGAGCTGTCCAAAGATCAAGTACCAAGGAACAGAGCGTGAAAGACATGCAAGGAATCCCCGCACGGGCTGCCTGAAAACGCTGCACAACCAGGGGAGGGCCAGGATGCAGAGAGTGATTCACCCTAAAACCCGAGCATTTAGTCCAGCGTGCCTGGCCCTCGGAACACCCCAGGCCTGCAAACAGCGCTGCTGCCTCAAATCATGATCGGAATCAGATAAATGCAGGAACTGAGAGCATATGGCTGTACTCACATTCCAGCAAGCACGGAGAACTCAGGTGCGCAGGGCCCCGAGAGAATGAAGACAAGGAGCCCAAGGGGACAGGCGGGGCGTCTGTGAGCTGATCCGGGCTGGCACCCAAGTGGCAGAACACACAGGTACCTGCACTGTGCCTTCCTAGGTGGGCAAGTGTGTCTCAAAGACGTCGACAGGCCAAATGGCAGTCTGTGTCGTGTGCTCGCTGCCAGTGTGCTGAATTTTGGACAAGAATTCGGGTTACAGCTCAGAGTCTGATGTTCTTCATTACAAACATTGTTGATTTCCTAGATTTAATGGAGTGGAGAGAAAAATCAACATGCAAGCAGCTTTCATTTTGCTATTTCCACCCTCTCCTAGTTCAGTCTAGACCAGCAGGGTCCTGTCGCTAGGACTGCCTGCACTGAAGCCCATGTTCTGTATCTCTACCCACGACAGTCACAGCCACGGGTGGCTACCAGCACCTGAAATGTGACTAGTGTGACTGAGCTGAATTTTTCATTTTACTTAATTTTAATTAATTTAAATGTAACTATCACATGTGACTAGTGACTACTGAAGTAACAGTTCTAGACTCAAGAACCAGGTGAAGCAAGAACCCATATACTGTGTATTCTAAACTCGACCATCATAGCACACAGCTGGTAACAGAAATTCCCATGGACAACCTGGCACTGGAGCCTTTATGTGCCAGGCCTGCTGTGGAGTCTGCAGCCACTGGCAATTCCGGAAAGTCTCCCAAAGTATTGCTCTGCTCAGCCCGTGCACCAAGCAAGACCGTTTCCTTCAGGTTCAGCATAAAGCAGATGCCAACCAGGTTTGTGCAGCAACTCAGGGAAGTGGTCTTACAATGTGGAGCTGAGATTTGAGTCAGCACAGATGTGACATGGAGCAACGTCATTTAAGAGAGCAGTAAACAGCCACATTTCAGTTTTAAGAGCCAATAATACACGTGGGCCTCATAATCTATGGTGCCTGCCAATCCATTAATACAGCCTGCCCCACCCAGTCTGCCCACCCACAGCGCAGGAATGGAGGGATGCCCAGGAGTCAGCTAGCTGGCAGGGGCGAGAGCGTGTGGGAAGATTATGTTTCCATTCCTTGCTCACATGGGACACAAAGGGAAACCAGGTCCCCAGCTAGGGCCTCACAGCCAAGGCAAATGAAGTCCTCATGTCCTCCCACCCCCGCAGCACCTGGAAGGCAACGGCAAACAGAAGGGCCCCCTTCAATAGTGCATTATGCAGGAGAGCTGGTGTCACCCAACCACCAAACCAGATGCCACTGCTGGCTAACACATCTGCAGGTGTGAGCGGGCCTCCGGTCCAGGCCAAAGGCTGCAACCTGACACCTAAGGAGACCAGGCAGGTAACAGCCATGAGTCAAAGCGCCAGGTGAGGGGTGATGGATGAACCAGAAAGCACTGGACCTGACCAAGAGTCGGCCACCACGCAGCTTTTCAAGGGGAGGGTGTGTGTGTGTGTGTGTGTGTGTGTGTGTATGAAATCCCTCAATTTAAAAGTGCTGGCAACTAATTAAATTCTCTTAAAAAGGAGGCCCTATAATCAAGGAATGGATTAATGATTGTCTCAAACCAAGGAGAAAAAAACCCCAATATCTCATTTATTTTCTTTTAATTTTTTTTTAATTGGTTTCAGGGAGAGGGAGAGTTAGAAACATCCAAGAGGAGAGAACCACTGTTCGGCCGCCTCCTGCGAGCCTC